GTTCTCATTCCCCCAGGCAATTTAGAAACTGTTCCAAAACGGCTTGCCTCTGAGAAATTTTTAATTATTTCTTCCCGGCTCCTTCCTAGTAAGCTCTGTGAATCACTGGTAGACAGTCTAGGTAGAACTGGTAGACAGTTCTCTCTGGTCTCAGCGGCTCCTTAGAGCCTTGCTCAGTGGGGCTTCCATGTGGGAACGGCACCCTTCTCCCTGGGGTGGGACACAGCTGCCCTGGTCCAGGGTCAGAGAAGCGAGTTAATTACAGCAGGGGGTGCGCTAGGGCATTAGTGGTGACAAACCCCTCCTGAGCACAGCCGTCATCATCATCATTGACACCATTATCATTAGATTTGTTTCTACCACATTTCCTAAACAGCACCTGGGGTCCCAGGAGAGGCCAGCCATGGCACCCTTCAATGCAGGAAGCATGTCACACTTCCAGAGAAAAACGGGCCTCAGCTCTGCTCTGCTGTCTCCTCCCAGTGATGGGAGGAGGTTTGAGTGTGATGGGAAGGTTTGGTGCCCTTGGACCCAAATCTGATGCAGGAGCTGCAGGGAGAGAGGGAGGGAGGAAGCAGCTGCTCATGGAGCTCAGACATTCTTTAGTTTGGCGGGCAGTTACTGTGGGTGCCAGGCACTGGGCAGCATGACCAGCTGATCCAGTTTGCCTGGCACTGAGGGCTTCCTGGGATGCCGGACTCTGAGTACTAAACCCAGGAGGATCCCGGGCAAATCAGCCTGGAGCAGGGTAACTGGGGACAGCAGGGAGCAAGGCAGGTGGGTCCTGCCCCTGTAGAGGGTCCCCCTTCTCCTGGGGGAGGCCGGCAGGGAAGCAAGCAGTCACAGCGTGAGTAAGAGCCAGCCACCGGGGGCCGTGGGGGCAGCCTCAGCCCAGACCAGGGCAGGAAGGCCTGGCTGGGTCCTCTGTCCCCTCTCTGGACCTTGCCGCCACCCCCGGCCTGTGGGGCCAGGATCGTTATCCCAGTTTTACAGATGCGGTGAAGGAGACTCAGGTCAGCAAAGGGCCTCCCCGAGGATAAAGGGTTGAGACAAAGCCAAGACCCCAGCCTGGCCTCCTGCTCAGCCAGGGGCCAGCTCCATCCATACCCCCTGCCACCCTGGCCTGACCTGGAGACCACAAGTCCCCTCTCCTTCTAGAGAGAGTGCCAAGGAAAGATTCTCAGCAGGAGCTGTGTTCACAGTCTAGTCTCCCCCTTCTCATCGCCCTGGGGGGCCAAGCAGAGCAGGGGGCCAGAGAAGGGTTAAAAAGGGGCCCTGCCAGAGAGGCTGGGGGCGACTCTGCAGAGGAGCCATAGGCCAGTCCTCAGCTGCCCTAGCAGCCGTGCAGTTCTCTGCAAGGAAAAAAAGAGAGAGCAGAGATGTAATGAGCCAGCCACCCTTCACTGATTTGCACATAATCATATCTTTCCCTTAATGGAACCAGCAGCCGAGGCGCCCTGACATCTGCTCTCTCCCTTCCTCCCATTTGATTCGAGAGGTTCAGCCTGCGCCTGGCTGGTTCACTGTTCAGCAAACATTGCTAAGGCCCGCCTGAGCGGGGAGAGAGACTTCAGACTGATGGGCACTGTCATTATCCCCCTTCTCAGACAGGAAACAGAGGCTCTGGACGGAAGCCACTGTCCTGCAAGCTCTGGGACTTGAGATGCAAGTTCCTCGGACATTCGCCATTTGCTAGGAGAGGGGCCTGGGGTGATGCTGGGGCAGGGACCCTCTAGAGAGGCGTTTCCAGAACCGGAACTCACACCTCTCGCACACTGTGGCCCATAGGACTGTGTAGCACAGCAGTTATGTTATCTTATTACACTGTTAGTGGTGGTATCAGCTCCATTTTACAGAAGAGGACACTGAGGCTCAAGAACGTGGTGATGTGCCTCGGGTTACACAACTAGAAATGATCACAGCTCCTGTGCTCAGCAGAACAGAGCATCTGGGAGAAAGAAGAGCCAGTCTTTGTGCACGCCTGCTGTGTGCCAGGCACCCTTGGAAGTGCTTTATGTGCACAGCAGATAGACAGTGTGTGGGGTCCCAGCACTTCAAGTTTATCCCAGTCTGGCCAGACTCAGCTCAGGTGTCCTTGTACATCTCAAAGTGTAGGATGCAGCAAAAGCAGGGTTTTGAGGGCAAATCATAGCCTTAAAAACATATTGGGAAAGAGAAAGGCGTCCTCTCCTCCAGGAAGCCCACCCTGATGCCATCCCACTCCAGCATTGAGGGAAGGGCCTCTCCTCTGGGCCCCACAGGAAACACCCCTCCATGCACACCTTTACTCTGTCACTGCAGTCTCAGCATGGCCGGACCCGGCTTACCTCTCTTTCTCTCACTGGATTGTGAACTTTCTCAACATTAGGACTTGTGCATCTCTGTGCTTCTCCTCACCTTGGTCGCAGGTGCTAGCAGCAGGTGAGGGGGCATGGTGGTGAATGTTGGATGAATGAATGCTATCCAGTGATCTCCCAGCCTCTCCCAGCTCCCACACAGCCCACCCCAGGGGAGGTTCTGTCCCCGGATAGGGTGGGAGTGTGTTTGGTGAGATGTGTGCTGGGCAGGTGGAGCATGGGGTGGGTTCTCTACCTGGGAAAGGTGAGGACCCTGCAGGGCGCAGGCCCTGGAGCCTTCCTGGAGGGCAGTCTACCCTGGTATCAGCCACTCTCAGAAATATTTTTACTTTTGTCCCAGTAATTCCATTCCTGAGACTGTATCCTAGGAACATAAGTCCAGAATTCAGACAAAGCTCAATGTAAAAAGTGTACATCAGAGATATTTATATTCTGAAAAAGCGGACACAATCTAAATATGGCTGGGTGAATAAACTGTAATTTATTCCTTTAATGGAATCTTCTGCAGCCTTTGAAAACTTTCTCACAAAAATGTCAACATGTGGGACATGTATATGATCTCATGGTCCCAGAGAGCAGAACGCAGAACTGTGCATCAGCCATGGCAACCACGTTAATAAAGAAAGATGGAGAAAGTCAAGGAAATATTCACTGTAATGCTGAGTGGTTGTTGGGGGAGGGGGCTGGAATTATGTGCGATTTTTTAAAATTATTTTTTTTACTTCTATAAACTTTCCAAATTGTTTACAACATATTGTAAAAGCTTATGACTTTAAAGAAACAAAATATGGGGCTAGGCTTGATCTCAGAAGGCTTTCCAGGAAAAGTGGACTTGGTGGGAAACTTAGCGGGTGGTTCCCTGACCTGCAGATACACCCCCAGCCCACCCTCCAGCTCCCTGCAGAGCCCAGGGTGCTGGGTGCTCTTGCTCCTGGCCTCGCTGTCTCTTGTTCCTGGTATATTCTCTCTCTCTCTCCACGTGCACACTCACCCCGGACCTGGATTTGCTATGGCCATGTCAGCTGAAGAGATGCACACGCTCCCTGGGGACATCCACCGGCCTTTAGGGAGAGTTTGTGTCGCCCCTCCAGGGCCGGCCACACTCACGTTTCCTCCAAACCTGAGCCTCCAGGACCCGAGTGAGGAGTGGGCCTCCTCCCGTGGGCAGTGAGGCCCCACAGCTGCTGGGCCTGAGGGTCTTCCCTGCAGTCGCCTGGCATCAAGAGCATGGCAGTGACTCGGGAGTGTCCCCAGCCAGCCTCGGCTGCGGGATGCTGGTGACGATGGGGTCGAGCTCACGATGCCCGTGACGAACTGTTCAATGGCAGGATGGGCGGGAGTGCTCTTCACGTGTGAGGAAGTCCACTCACGAGTGTCACTGTCACAGCGTTACTCCCTGGGCCTGTGGACGTGACGGGGCCGACTGCAGAGGTCAGCCGTGGCAGGCCACAGGGCTCAGGGTCGGCCCCTCGGCAGCTGCACAGCCAATACAGGGGGGCATGAAGCCCCATTGCAGGCCATAGGCTCCCCTGCCTGACCTCCATGGCCGGATCAACAAGCCGGTGACCTTCTGGTGGCAGGAAGGGATCTTACTGACCATGTCAGTGTCCAGGGCTGCCGTAACAAATGACCACAGACTGGGAGCCTCAGGACAGTAAGAATTTACTCTCTCGCAGTTCTGGAGGCCAGAAGGCCAAATTCAGGGTGTCAGCAGGGCAGTGTTCCCTCCAGAGGCCTTGAGGGAGGATCCTTACGGCCTCTTCTCGCTTCCTGGGGTCGTGGCTGCATCACTCCAGTCTCTGCCTGTCTTCACATGGACTTTCCTGAGTCTGTTTTCTCCTCTTCTGCCTCTTTTAAGGACACTTGTCATTCTGAAGTCCAAGCCTGTGCCTCCCACCCGTGCCTCAAAGCAGGTCCCCAGACCACCCGCACCCCGCCATCCTGCTGGGATGTTCTGGTGGTCCGGGGCATGGGAGTTAGAGCATGGCCCTTTCCAGTCTGCCTGCCTCCATCTACCCCACCCCTCTCTCCCTATTCCTGCCTAAAAGGCTCTCGCCTGCTCTGTGACTCCAAGGCCTTTCCCCAGCTAGTGTCCTGCCATCTCCACGGTGCACCCAGGGTGGCCCCAGCCCTCGCTGGGGGAACCTGGGAGGTCATTCTGCGTGTGACTCAACAGGAGTGTGTGTGGCAGGGGCTCAGGCAGGTGCCTGGTGGTTCGTCACCTGGGGGCCCAGTGCATGGCCCGCTCCAGTTTCTGAGTCTCTCACCTGGCTTTCCTCCACCTGCAGGAGCCCCTGGGGCCTGTGGGCAGAGCTCAGCCCTTCCAGACAAGAGCATCTGGGAGGCCCTCCCACACCCCCAAACGACCTTGGGGCCCTCTTGGCCCCTCTGGCACGGCACGGACGCTCTGGGTTGCAGCTCTGGCCCCCACACCTCTCTCTGCCAGCCTGCAGGTCAGGAGAGCAGGCACAGGGCCACGCGTCTGGGTCCCAGCACCCAGCCTGGCACAGAGGGGGCGGCAGCCTTGGTGGGTGAAGGAGTGAGGGAATGAATGAATGAACGAATGGACAGATGGATGGATGGACGAGTGGGGGAACCAGCTGGGTGGTACCCCTGACAGTCTCGTGTCCATTTCCCTTGCAGACGTGCTGGTGGACGGGCAACCATGTGACTGCGAGGCGGCGGCCTGCCAGGTGGGCGACCCCGTGCGGCTGGAGGTGCGGCTGACCAACCGGAGCCCGCGCAGCGTGGGGCCCTTCGCCCTCACGGTGGTCCCCTTCCAGGACCACCAGAACGGCGTGCACAACTACGACCTGCACAACGCTGTCTCCTTCGTGGGCTCCAGCACCTTCTACCTCGACGCGGTGCGTGGTGGTCTGGGAGCCCCTGTGGCCCCATGCCTCCCCCAGGCAGTGGGCTTAGGGGTGGGCAGACACAGGGGCTTCTCTGTGTTGACCTTCATCTGCGGGACTGGCCGAGAGACCTTAGACAAGTTCATTTCTGTGTGTCCGAGTCCTGGGAGGGAAACCAGGATGGGGAGACGACCCCCGAAGGTTGCTAAGGAGATAAGGCGAGGGGAGGGGACCTGGGACAACATTAGATCCTGCCATGTTGCTATGGCCATCGCCCTGCCCCACACGGTCAGCTCCTCCCTGCCCAGCGGTTGCTGCAAACCAGCCCAGAGGGACTGATATAGTCACAGTGCCCGCCCTGGCCCCCACCTCCACCTGCACACGGCACAGCCCTCATGCACCACTCACCATCACTGCAGCTGCTCCCCACACTGCCTGAACCCCCAAACAGCTCAGGGAGGGAAGTGCTATTATCTCCTTCCCAAGACGGAGGCTGGGGCTCAGAGAGGTGCAGCGACTTGCTGGGGCAGCACAGCAGGGAAGCCCTGGAGGGAGCATGGGAGCAAGGCCTGGGGGCCCGCCCTCCCTCTGTTGCCCCCATGTCCAGGCAGGTTCAGGGGCCTCCTGGTGGCTTTGCTGGCCTGGCCTGATGCCTCTCCCTCCTCCCCATCAGGTGCAGCCTTTGGGCCAGTCGGCCTGCCTGGGGGCCCTCCTCTTCCTCTACACGGGCGACTTCTTCCTCCTCATCCGCGTCCACGAGGACAGCACGAGCAAGGAGCTGCCGCCCTCTTGGTTCTGCCTGCCCAGCGTGCACGTGCGCTCCCTGGAGGCGCAGGCTTGAGCTGCTCCTGCCCCGTCTGGGTCCCTGTGCCCAGAGAGCCGTGGGGGCAAGGCCTTCGCTGCAGCTCCTGTCCCCTCCTCCCAGCCCCACCCCTCTCCTCCCCTTCCTCCTTCAGCATCCTTTCCAGGCGGTGCAGGAGACCCCAGACATGGCAGCCTCCCCTCTTCCCACACTGGCCACCAGGGTCTTTCTGCTGGAGCCTGGCATGCAGGTGGATGCTGACCAAACCCCAGAGGGTGGTGCCCGCCCAGCCCGGGTCCTGGGGTCCCTGCACCTCTTCCTGTGACCTGGGGCTCAGCCCAGCCAGTAGGAAGAAGAGGCGAGCGTGAGTGAGGGGCACAGCCCAGGTGGGCCTGAGGAGCCTCCCTCTGCCCCGTCGGCCACTGGAATCCTCCGAGGGCTGGCTCTTCTCCCAGAGGCCCTGAGGCAGTCCAGGCAGGAGAGATGGAGCCGTGATTGACACCAAGAGGGGCCACCTGCCCCCTGCAGAATGTCTGGGCGGGTGCCAGCTGTCCCGGGCCCTGGGCTGTTTCCAGAGGGCCGTGGCCTGTTTGTCTGTGTCTGTGACAAGTTCTCCAATAAAGAGCCTGCCTTGCTCCTCTGCTGGTCCAACTGCATCCGTGCATCTGCTTATCCAGTGTGGTCAGGGGCCGCCGCACCCAACCCCCAGGACACAGACGGCTGGCGGGCAACGGGTTCGGGCCTGTGTCTGTCCCCGGGACCCTCAGCCCCTCTCATGCATGTGCCCTCTGGGCCTGGTTCCTCAACCCCTCTTGGAACACTGACTCGAGGCCCCACACCAGGGTCCTCAGACCCCCAGGATGGGTCTGGCCATCTCAGCCTCTTGCTTGCTCCCCTGGGGTCTACACAGCATCTGCCTCTGCCTCCTGCTCCACACAGATGCTCAGGAAACGTTCAGGAGCGCGACAGCAGGCGTCAAGGAGTCTGATGAGGCCACAGCGGCCCTCGGAACCACCATGAGGGCTGGCTCTCCCCTCCTCCGTCTTCTTCCTCACTCCCGTCAGGGTCGCCCAGGCCGCCCACCCCCGCGGTCCCTGGAACAGCCACCACCTGCCGCCCTCACTCCCAGCCTGGCGGGTTCACAGAGTCCCTCCTCTGCCCCAGCAGCGTCAGTCTTCGTTGAGCAAACATTACCCCCTGAGCAGAATTCTGGTGCCAGAGAGACGGCAGGGGTCCCACAGCACAGAGCGGGAGTGGGGTGAAGCCAGGGGCTTCCGAGGCTCCTGGGGTCACCCTGTTTCCGTGAGGCTGCCAGGCAGCAGGCACGGTGCTGACTCACACACGGGGATGGAGGAGGATGGACAGTCACTGGGCTGTCGTGGGACCTGGGGCATGTTGGCCCGTGGGAGCCCTGTGACTTCGGAGACAGGTGCCATTTTACAGGGTGTGGCATGCCCCAATTAGAAAACACCCTGGCGAGAGCTCCTGGCTCAGGGCAGGAAGAACTTTCTAGCCCCTGCCTCACAAGGGGCTGCACCGTGTCCGCTGGGTCAGTGCCTCCCCGTGCCAGGCATGGCTGGGACACTTGGCCCCTGCTGTGCATCCTCCAGCTACTCTGGGCCGAGGGGGCACTGCCCCCATCGCGGGAGGGGACTGAGTCTCCAGGTGCCGGGAGCATGTAGTAGGAGGCAGCCGAGCAGGACAGACTCCTGCCCGTGTCCTCCCTGTTGCTCGGGCAGTGTCACCGGAGGAGGCACTAGGAGGGGCCACCATCCCCCACACTTTGCCAGCTTGACGACGTTTACAGTCGTCATGTTGGCAGCCTCACCCCTTCCCACACCATCCACCAGCGCCCTCGGGGCCCAGCCCAGGCCCCACAGGCCCGGCTGCCACCTGTAGTTTTCAGGCTGCTTGCTGCCCAATGGCACCCACCGGGAGGGCAAGCGAGGGCGGGGGTCCATCTCGCCCCATGCAGGGCTGTGCTGCCCAGAGAAGGGGCACTTACTCAACTTGCACAAAGCTACGCTGTGGCCCGTGGTGGCCTGTTCTCTCTGCTCCAGAAGCCCCTACCCACGCAGGCCTTGCCGCTCAGTGGTCAGCCCTTCACCGGCCCTCCCCTGTGTCGCCAGAGCTGCGGCTCGCCTCTTCCCAGGGCAGGAGGAACTGTACGGAGCCCTGGCCATGCCTGGCTTCTCAGCAGAGGCCGGCCCAGGAAGGGTCCAAGTGAGGCCCCTAGCAAACCCTGGGACGCGAACTGAGCACAAGAGCTTGTGGAAAAGTGAGGGTCAGAGGGAAGGGAAAGAGACAGCGAGGGAGCATTGTTGGGCCTGCCGCAGTGGTCACCTGGGGCTGGAATCCTCGGGGGAACTTGGGGGACAGGGAGAACGCACACCGCGGGACACCCAGCCCGGGGGCGAGGGGCTGGTCTGTGTATCCTCCAACCCCCAGAGTTCAGTCCTGCATGCCAGCCTGCCAGGGGCCAAGCAGACCAATGCCCTGCACTTCCCGGGGACGAGGGAAACCACACACAGTCTCTAGAGCACGTTATTAGCTGCAGTGGCTCGTGGCTCCTCAGGGAAAGCAACCCCAGGAGGCCTGCACGTGGCAAGGGGTGGGGACCTGGGGAGGTCTCTTCAGCCCTCCCATGTAGGACGCAGCCGAGCAGGAGTGCCTGCAGCAGAGATGACCAAAGCCCTTTGCTCAGGATGCAGGAAAACTCCTTCCAGGGCCATGTGACCATCCATCCATGGCTCCCCCAGGACAGGGCCAGGCCTTAGCCACTCCCCATCCTGGGCGCTCCATACATGGAGGTCAGATGGACAAGCCCCATGCAGGAGGCCTTGGCCTGGGTCAAGTCCCAGCCAGCCATCTCCTCGGCTCATCATCCAGGGCGTCTTCACTGTTAGGATTAGGCGGGGGATCCAAGAAAAGGGCTTACTGCACCACTCCGCACACAGCAGGTGCTCCATAAATTGCCAGTGAGCCCCTCGGGCCAGGGTCTGGGAATGCACCTTGTGTGTCCCCAGGTGGCCCGGGACTTCTGTCAGGAGGTCCCACTTGCGGTGTCCATTCTGCACACCTGCTACAGGTGAGTCACCCCCACGGGGTGGGGAGCATGTGAGGCTGCTCATCATCGGCTCACGTCAAGAGACGCCTTCAGAAGGAAACCAAAACAGTCCCCTGGCTGTCATGGCTGAGCTCTGGGGGCCACCTGCCCAGGCCAGGCAAGCAGTAAAGTAGCACAACGGAAGGACAGGCCATACCCTGCTCAGGACACCCCTGGGTTTAACTGGATTGAACTGGACGCTGTGCTGAAAGCAGGTGGGAGGCCCCCGCCCCAGCCAGCCAGGAACTATGAGCGCAGCTTGTCTGGTGGGTGGGCTGGTGGGCAGGCGCACAGTGCCCACCAGTGGGACCCAGGGCACAGAGCCCATGGTCTCAGTGGAGGCACCTGGGGAAACAAAAGGGCCTGTAGGCTGGGTCCAGGGGCAGGAGGATCAGAGAAGTCTTCCCGGAGGAGGTGGTGTGGGGGTGGAGGCTGGATGGGTGGGAGAGGAAGGGATCTCCAAGAGTGTGGGAGGGCTGAGCGAAGACCTGGAGGGAGGACAAAGGGCTTGTGAGCCCTGGGGACACAGTTGGACCACCGCCACTCCTCTCAGCCACTGCTGGGGCAGGACCAGTAAGAAGGCAATGACCTTGTGGGGACATGGAGAAGAGGGGCCAGCTCTGTTTGGGGTCAGAGGTGATGCTGAGCTGGGCCTTGCTGGAGTTCATGAGGGGGAGAAGATGGAGGAAGGGTGTTCAGGTAGAAGGAACAGCATCTGCGAAGTCTTGGAGGCATAGGACAGACGAGAGGGGAGATGCATGTGAATAATTAATATAACAGGAAGTGCGTGGTCCCAGGCCCTGAAGACGGCAAAGACTGCCCATGCGGTAGGGTGGGAGTCCCCGGGGCAGGTGAAGTGCTCCCCAAAAGGAGTCCCTGGAGCCCAGGAGAGAGGACAGGCCAGGAGACAAAGATTGGGAAGCAGATGGCAGAAGAGGGAAGAAGAGGGGTCCCGGGCAGGGGTGCTGGACTGGGTCTTGGTGGATCTGCCCACTTCTCCACCTCACGTCCTCGCACCCCCGCCCTGCTGTGTTCACAACGTGCTCCAGCTGCACCAGCCTTCTCTCCCTTGTCACCCAGCCTGATCCCCCCTCGGGGCCTCGACTGCTCTCTCTGCCCGGAGGGATGCTCTGGGCAGGTGGGAGGCCCTCACACGGCCTCTGGCATTGCAGTCTCAGCTCCACATCACCTCCCATGAGGGGCATTTCCTGACCACCCTGGCTACGTTGGCCCAGCCCTCGTGGGGGAGATGGCCCAATCTGGAATGATCTATTTGATCACGCATTGTGCGCTCTGTCCTCTGCTGCAATGTGAGCACCTGTGAAGGTGGCTGGCACGTGGAGGGCATCGTGAAACTTGGCTGAGAGAGAGCCCTCCTCAGCCTGGGAGGCCCCCTGGGAGCAGGGCCCTGCGGAGCAGGCAGAGCATGAGATTTGGAGCTCAAACAGTGCTCCAGCTCTGCTTTGCTGTGTGACCACGGGCTGGCCACTTCACTTCTCTGAGCCTCAATTTCTCATCTGTAAAAGGGAGATAATAAATCTCGTCTCAGAGGGCGGTTGTTGAGGATCATATCTAAAGGGCCCGGAACAGTGTGGGCGTGTCTGGTGCCCGGCAAACATCTGTTGAATGAAAGAATGAGTGGAGCCCTTCACTGGCTTTGAGGCAGTCTTGGCTCTGCCACCTACGAGATGTGGGACCTTGGCAAAGTCAGTTCACCTCTGGGCCTCAGTGTCCTGCCTGTAAGATGGGATCTATCCCATTTCAGCCTCCAAACCCACTCCCTACAGGAGCAGAAGAGAGGGTTCTTGTGTGAAGGTCTCCTGACCCCCAAGGTGCTCTGTGCTCAGATGGGGCACTCTGAGGCAGGCAGGACCCCAAATTCCACCGCGTGCAAAGCCAGGACAGGATGCTCTTTGCTCTGTGTTTACCTACCGCCCCTTACCCCACACACACACTCAGTGAAGAGGCCACGGGGTAGAGGAGGGGGCGGTCTGAGCACAACCCTGTGCCTGCGGTATGAGGGCTCTTGAGAGGAGAAGGCCTGGGCGGTGTCTCGGCTCTCTGTAAAGTCCCGAGCAGAGCCGACAGCAGGCTCCCTGTCACACAACAGATGTGATCCTGAGGACCATCCCCCACGCCCCCAAACAGGAAGAGGGGGACTGGAAACCAGGAGAGGGGAAAATAGGACAAAGAACTTGGTCAACCCCACAGAAGGCAAGACATCGCTTCATAGTGGCCTGGTTTGTTGAGAAAAAGATTAGCAACAACTTAAACAACCACTAACCAGGGACTGAATGAATCACCTGTGGCTTATGGAAATGAAGC